CTCGGTGAAGACAGCCGTGCTGTAGGGGCTGGTTGGGGTCAGATTCGTGGGTGCGACGGTCCTCTACCGTCCCGGGCATATCACTTCGGGCCCACAGAATGGGTCCACACGGGGACCAATGTGATACGGACAAATGGGAAGGGCTCTCGCTGGACGCTGGTTGGGGTCGAATTCGTGGGTGCCGTCTTCCACAGTCACTTCGGGCCACAGAATGGGTCCCACACGGGGCCAATGCGATAGGGACCAATGGGAAGGGCTGCCTCCTCGTCTGCTGGCTCGGCGAAGACAGCCGCGCCGGACGCCGTCCAAACTGGATCTCGCCGACGGCAGACGTACGTATAGCCACGTTGAAATTAATTGGATCCAACACCGATCCGATGAAGTCTGGGATTAAATTGGATCGCTAATTTGATTACTCTTTAAAAAAATATTTTTTTTATACAATTGAAAAGGTAATAATTTCTCATCTTTCATTACCATAACAAAAAACTTAAAATACAGTAATGATTTATATAGCTGAGTACTTTCCAACGTGGAAAACACTATAACGCTTGATAGGCAAGAGTCCGAATCTTGATTTCCTTTGTCGCATGAGGTTGGCGTGGAGTAAGCAAATCTTGTGGCCAGCAGAAGAAGAGCGGCTGTGGGCGGCTCATCAGATGATGTCCGCCGGACACAGTTTTCTCCATCAAACTCTTCCCAAGTCCACAATGACAAGGAAACAATTGGACTCACCTCCGCCATCTTCAAAGAAAGAATATAAAACAATGTTCATCTATGTGGACACTTACCAAACGCTACTACTTCAATCTCACTCCATGATTGAGTGGTCGGCTCAATGTGATGAGTGCAATGTGCAATAGTCCATCATTGTGGATATGGTATATTTATTATGGTGAGATTGATTTCATTATCTTGCAGTAGGTTTGTATTATTTTTTGGTGCATAGTATGTTAAATTCTAGCCATATACTTCATCTAATCTGTCCTTTGTCCCTAATTTAAGTGATGGAAGTCTCATATATTAATTATTTTTTATGAAACTAAGAGTTGATTTTCTAAATTAAATAAAAAAAAACCTTGGTGTAATTTTAATAATAGTGGAGATATAGTTATATAATCATAATAATTATAGGTGCATTAATTGCTCTAATTATCTAATGTGACTTTAGTTCTCTTAGGAAATTTATATTAGTGAGAGGTTAGAAATGGTTACAGAACGAGTCAAAGAAAGAGACGACGACACCTATCCATAACTCGTGACATTTCCAGAACCATCTGTATCACTGCATAATTGTATGTGCCATGATATGGTATGGCATTTAAATCATCATAGACGCAAAACACCTTTATCTTCTCTCTCTATCTATAAAAATGCTACCTTTCCCTGCTTCCTCAAGGCACGAACACTGACTGAGTTGAGATCTTTGGAGATCAGTGTGCCTGTGAGAGGGGGGGGAGAGAGAGAGAGAGATGGAGGGGAAAGAGGAGGATGTGAGGCTTGGAGCAAACAAGTTCACGGAGCGGCAGCCGATAGGGACAGCCGCGCAGAGCCAGGACAAGGACTACAAGGAGCCACCACCGGCGCCACTGTTTGAGCCAGGCGAGCTCAGCTCCTGGTCCTTCTACAGGGCTGGGATAGCGGAGTTCGTGGCCACCTTCCTCTTCCTCTACATCACCATCCTCACCGTCATGGGGGTGGTCAAGTCCAGCACCAAGTGCTCGACGGTGGGCATCCAGGGCATCGCCTGGGCCTTTGGCGGCATGATCTTTGCGCTGGTCTATTGCACCGCTGGGATCTCAGGTGAAGCACCCGATCTCTGTGTCAAGAGCTTGGCTTCGGTTCGCAGCGGTAACCGAGTTTTGTGTGACCCGTGTCAGGTGGCCATATCAACCCGGCGGTGACCTTCGGGTTGTTCCTGGCGAGGAAGCTCTCCCTCACCAGGGCTCTGTTCTACATGGTGATGCAGTGCCTGGGTGCCATCTGCGGGGCTGGTGTGGTCAAGGGGTTCCAAAAGGGGCTCTATGAGAACAACGGTGGTGGGGCAAACGTGGTGGCTCCTGGCTACACCAAGGGCGATGGCTTGGGTGCTGAGATCGTGGGCACCTTCATCCTCGTCTACACTGTCTTCTCTGCCACTGATGCCAAGAGGAGTGCTCGGGACTCTCATGTGCCTGTAAGCTGTTCTTGTTTATGACTATATCACCTGTCAAACAACAATCTCTCTCTCTCTCTCTCCTGTGCTAAATTTGTATGTTCGAGCTTGATGTTGTGCTTAATGTGTTGATCAACTTCCACAATTCCTCCACGGCTGCCATTTTCCTGTCTGTAAGAGAGTTCTTGAGGTTTTGCGCTAAAGACTCCTGTGAATCCGTGCAGATCCTTGCTCCGCTGCCTATTGGCTTTGCAGTGTTCCTGGTTCACCTGGCTACCATCCCCATCACTGGCACTGGTATCAATCCTGCCAGGAGTCTTGGAGCTGCAATCATCTACAACAAGGGCCATGCTTGGGATGACCATGTAAGTCTAAGGAGGAAGTGATCAAGTGCTCTCATCTCCCTTCACATTATCTTCTTAATCTTTCACTTATTTGACTAAACTATGATTCCTTATCCTCAGTGGATATTCTGGGTTGGGCCATTCATTGGAGCTGCTCTTGCTGCCTTGTACCACCAGGTAGTCATCAGGGCAATCCCATTCAAGAGCAGGTCATGAGCTTCCTGAAAAGATGATGTGGTTTCTGTCATGTCTCTCTGTCTCTGTCAATGTGTTGCAGCACTGTGGTTGTCTTAAATGTGTGAACTGGACATTGCTATATTGTTGTTGCTGTACTCAAGTGTATTTCTGGCAGATTCCTAATCTTCATCCTTCATCACTTGAAATGTTGTTATGTATATATATATATATATATATATATATATATATATATATATATATATATATATA